ACCAGAAAATTCCAAAAAATTTTCTTTAATGCAGTATTGTAGTATTTACTATTGACTTTAGAATAGCTCCTAATATCAAGTGCGCATGGCTTCAAAATGGCCTCAAAATGCCCATGACCAGAACATTATCGGGGGGAGGCAGCAGAGCGTCCCCCCCCTCCTGGGTGGGCTCGCTGCGCTCGCCATGTTACCCCACCCACAACTTTTTGGACCCCCCCCCCTTTGATGTTCCTGGATCCGCCCGTGCAACACACACAACACCACCACGCACATCACCAGCACATGCAACACTACCACCACATTCACATCAACATATGGGCAACTTCCTAACACACCTACCACACGCCACACCACACAATACACCACTACCACACACGCCACCACAATACACCACTACCACACACATACACCACCAATACACCACTACCACCACGCTACCACCACTACCACACACATTACACACAATACGCCACAATCACACACTACACCACCGTACATCACTACCACACACACTTCTACCACTACCACCACACGATACCACCACAATACACCACAATCACACGCTACCACCACCACAATCACACACGCTACCACCACCACAATGCACTACACGCTAGCGCCACCACCCACACGCTACACACAATACACACAATCACACACACCACAATGCCACTACCACACGCTGCCACCACCCACCACAATACCACAATCACACGCTACCACCACCACAATGCCACTACACCACGCCCACCACCACAATACACCACTACCCACATACCACCACAATACCACTGCGCCACCACAATACGCCACTACCACACACACCACAATACACCGCCACCACACCTACCACAATACACCACTACCACACCTTCAAGCGCCACTACACACGCCCAATACGCACCACAATCACCGCTACCACCTGCTGTTGCCACGCTCACCACACAACAAACGCTACCACCACACGCAATACACCACAATCACACACGCTACCACCACCACAATACACCACTACCCACACGCCGCACCACAATACACCACTACCACACACACCACCACAATACACCACTACCACACGCCACAATACACCACACACACACACCACCACCACAATACACCACTACCACACACACACCACCACAATACACCACTACACACCACCACAATACACCACTACCACACGCCCACACACAATACACACTACCACCACCACACCACGCCACCACCACAATACACCCACTACCACACACGCCACCACACAATACACCACTACCCTATTTTCTTTCCACACACACACCACAATACCACTACCACACACCACCACCCACAATCACACGCTCTGCAATACCATACCACCACCACAATACCACTACCACGCCACCACCACAATACACACCACACACGTTACCACCACCACAATACACCAGTACCACACGCCACCACCACAATACACCACTACCACGCACACACCACCACCGTACACCACTACCACCACCACAATCACACCACCACCACCACAATCACACGCTACCACAATACACCACTACCACACACGCTACCACCACAATACACCCTACTACCACAATACACCACTACCACACACCACCACAATACACCACTACCACACACATACACTACACGCCACCACCACAATACACCACTACCACACCACCACCACAATCACACACTACCACAATCTACACACATACCACCACCACAATACACTACCACACACACGCCACCACAATACCACTACCACACCACCACAGCCACCCACACGCCACCACCGTACACACTACCACACAATACACCACTACCACACACGCTACCACACCACAATACCACTACCACACCGCTACCACCCACAATACACCACTACCACACGCCACCCCACCACAATACACCACTACCACACACTGCACACCACAATACCACACACACACACACACACACACACAACACACACACACACACACAAATCGTGGCAAGGCTGACTGTCAAGTATAGGTTTGCCTCCCAATTAAATACAACTAGGCCAGAGCTCACCGCCACACACTCTTATAAATAAACCATAACAATTTCCTGCTCGTTAAGGGCGTCTCCTGGGAGTGTTGGCCCTACAGCATACAGCATGAGCTCCCGGGCCCTTCACTGGTCTTAATCATTTGTAGCTACCTGTCTGTCATTTCTCATTGATCACCTTCCTTATACAATTAGAGGAGAGGAAGGGAGGAACTCGGTGTTGTGTTGTGGGTAGGAGGCAGACACGACTCGCACCCTCACGATAACACTTGTACAACTGTATTCAATATGATGTTATGATACTGGCAGCTGGGGTGTCAGGTAGCAGGGCCGTCCCTGGACTGTGTTGCCTGGCACACACACACACACACACACACACACACACACACACACACACACACACACACACACACACACACACACACACACACACACACACACACACACACACACACACACACACACACACACACAGTACATACTGGACACACACGCTACATACACTGGATATACACACACTACATACACGCTCGCTCGCTCGCACGCACGCACATACACACACACACACACACACAATTAACAATCATAAGAACAAACCTCGTCACCTGAGAGAATACTCTGACTACCAATACACATGGCTGGTGATGCACCAGGAGACTCTCACACTATTACGTTATTCTCCTCACACAATCTCAGCCGCATTCCACACGGTGAATTCCAGATGTTTACTAATGACGTCATTCATATCACTACTTATCCAGGCATATTAGCTCAATTAATGACCTGCCATACAGCAAAAGCCACAGAGACATTAAACAATTTTGAAAGTAAACGAAAAATAATAGCCATTATAAAAAAACTCCGAACAGTAAACAACTAGGCACACCTATAAACGAGGGAATAACAAGAGCTAAACAAATCCTGACAAAAGTACGACACTTGATATTTATTCCTCGGTGATTTAGGATATAACTATCTTCACTCGTGTTCGGTCAGGTCAGCCACCACTAACCATACAGTAAAACAAACCAGCGTCCAGAAGCCAAGCCAGAAGACCCATTCTTAATATTCACTCTCAGGCAGTGATCACGAGAGGAATGACCACAGCACTCAACATTATACTATACAAGACAGCCAAGGGAACCAGGAAACAAATGGGCATTCATGTCTGACTAATCTATAACATTCTTTTCAGCTGTTTTCGAATCAGTGGATGACGGGCACGATTAAGATGTGGTATACCTCGACTTTAGCAAACCTTCGACAGAGTACCCCCAGAAGACTAATATGAGAAGTGGAGGTTCATGGAATTGGAGGAGATATTCTAAAATGGATTAGGGCGTGGTTACAGGGCAGGAAACAGCGAGTAAGCATTAATGGCACTAAATCTGATTGGGGTAACGTCACTAGCGGAGTACTCCAAGGCTCAGTACTTGGACCAATACTATTTATTATACACATAAACGACATATACCGAAAATAGGCGTACACAGCAACATAAGTAAATTTGCTGACACCAAAATAGGGCACGTAATTAAATCTGATATGGACTCCGCAAAACTACAGGAAGATCTAAACAAATTTTTTGCATGGTCTGAAAAATGGTAGATGAAATTTAATGTGGACAAATGTAAAGTACTTAGTCTAGGAGATGTAAACAGAGAAACCTGAAATCAGATGAAAAACGTTGTTATAGAGAAATCCGATTGTGCGAAAGATTTAGGAATAATGATAAGTAGGAATCTTAAAAAAATCAACTATGTGTATTTGCTCGAAACAAGGCTAACAAAGTACTTGGGTTCATACAAAGGAGTGTTAGTTACAAGACTAGCGAGGTCATCCTAAAACTGTATCATTCACTTGTGAGACCTCACCGCACTACAAAATGGACATAGAATCACTAGAAAGAATTCAGAGGAGAATGACAAGACTAATCCCGGGCATTAGGAGCCTTGAAGACAGAAACAGGTTAAAGCATCTTAATTTGCACTCCTCGAAAGATGTAGAGTGAGGGGCGATATGATCGAGGTGTGTAAATGGAAGTCAGGGCTAAACAATGGTGACGTAACATAGAAACTCAAACTATCCAACCAAGAGCGAACTCGTAGCAATGGTTTTAAATTAAACTAATTTAGATTTAAGCACGAGTTAGGTAAACATTGGTTTGGAAATAAGAGTAGTGGATGAGTAGAAAAGTTACCAAACATCATTAACTCGAATATGCTGGATAGTTTGAAACACAGGTTGGATGGATATATGAGCGATAGGGGTTAGATGTAAACGGGACTGCCCAGTATGGGCCAATAAGCCCGATGCAGTTTCCTCCATTCTAATGTTCTTGTGTTCATTTATACAGTTGATTATAGGCACACCGACCTAGAGAGCGTGGCCAATACAGGTGAAGAACACAAGGTACCATAACACGACTGTACACTCCACCACCAGGAGTCTCTTACAGCTGCCCCCCACCCATGGGCACACAATGAGGTCACTGCACTGTTAACCTTGAATGGGGAGACATTAATATGTTTTCTACTTAAGACAAAAAAAATCCATCCTAATATTATTAAATCATTACCAAAACATGAGAAGGTAAAACTTGGGGGTAATGATAGAGAGGAGCATCACTCTCACCACAGTAGTGACACAGGTGTGGTGACGAAGACAACTCAGAAAAAATTATCATTACTCAACCTTGAACTGTTAAGACTTTCACCTGCTGACAACCATGTACCTGATCTGCCCCCCCCCCCACGACCAACCTACCCCACCAAGTCCCTCCTCCCTTTCCTAACCCAAGCTCTTCCAAACCCTATCCCACGCCCCCCCCCCTAAATGCAATACATCAGCGAAAGGAGTTAGACTCAATAGCTGAGCATCCACTCTATAAACTGAACTATTTATCATACTCACAGTTCTGAAACTTGTTGAAGACATTACCATAGATAGTCTCATCACCATTGACTACTTAACCTCACTCACTGCTTCCTCTTGACATCCTCAACTGAGATTTTCACCCGCTTGACTCTGAAGCCAGACACAAACATGTGTGTCTTGCTGACAGGGATACCAAGACCAAGCAACTGTGGATCTACTCTCACATAGACCTTAGTGAACGTGAGGGAGTTGATGCTTTAACTAAACTCGTGTCCAACAAAGACACTGTTGAATACAAACTGGGTCTGACGAAAAGAACCCTAAAAACTGTAATCGTAAAAGAACTTGTTGATGAAATTAAAGCAAGTAGACAAGTACAAACAGGCACTAGTTAATCCAGTGTCTACCGTGATGAGGTGTATCAAGTAAATCATATATATGGAGAAAGTAGCAAGTTCAATACACCACAAAAAGTTGTCACTATTACACTAAGGTTAGAATTAATGTAAAGTGAGCGCCCACGCACTCCAACAATACGCCTTAGATTGAGAAAACAGAATTTTTTCGGGACAAGTCCAAGCAGAGTGTGTGTGTGTGTGTGTGTGTGTGTGTGTGTGTGTGTGTGTGTGTGTGTGTGTGTGCGTGTGTGTGTGTGCGCGCGCCCCGCTGCCTTGCGGATTAACCTTGGTAGGTAAAAGGCTTCGGGAGTAATCCCCGAAAGAAAAATCTGTGGTAGAGCCCAGCAACAGGCAGACTTGCTTACAGAGCTCCAACATGACCCCAACGGCAGTATAGGCGGAAATGGTGACCAACTTGGGAACCCAACGACTACACCGGCGGATGAAGGCAATGCATGATGGACAGGCTACTAAGGCAAATCGGTAGTCCATTGCACTCTCCCTCTCCCCAGTCGTTGCAACACTTGCACCAATGGATCAGGAAAAGGGAGAGCCAAGATGTGTGGTTGCAGCCTGCACTCCTGCCTCACCACATAAATCAACTCAAGCACAGCCATCATCCAGCTGATCCGACTCCTCATCATTATCAAACCCTTATACCACAAACTTCCTATGACGACGAACGAGTGGCGACGGGGACAGGCAATGATGACTGCCGGGAGTCTCTCGTTACAACCCTGCACATGGGCGACACAGATGAGATGGTCGTTTATGCACCGGGATCTAGGCAGCAGTGCAATCCGATCCTGTCTGTGCGACTGAGCAGCACTTTCCAGGAGCCACTCTGCTCACCCCAGATGGGGAAGGGGCTAGAAAAGGTGCCCTAAACATAGAACCAACCTGACTGTGCAACTGCACTCAGTAAAGTCCTTCTTATGCAGTCAAAAACGCAGATCAAAACAAAAGCAAACTATACAACTCCTTATGTTCGTTGCATGTAATGCCAAGACCCTTCTGGAAACTGGCAAAAATGCACGTCCTGAAAGAAGAACCGCCCTTGTGGAAAAAGAGCTGGCTAGATATAACATCGACATAGCAGCCATTAGTGAAGCCTGGATCCCAGACAAGGGTCGACTCACAGAACGGGGGTCTGGCTTTACCCTCTTCTGGAAGGGTAAGCTTGCTGCGGAGAGAAACCGCATTTATGGAGGTGGCTTTTCCATCTGCCAACGCATCCTACACAGGCTAATTGAAATACCTGTTGGGATCAACGAGCACCTCATGACGCTCAGAGTCCCACTGAATCACTCATGTTATGCCTTTTTCATCAGTGCATACACCCCAACACTGGATGCAGAGGATGATATCAAGGAGGCCTTTTATGCCTATCATGACAGAGTGCTAACCTCTATCTCAAGGGAAGATATGGTTGTGCTCCTTAGTGACTTCAATGCCAGAGTTGGTAGAGATGCTGACATTTAGCAGTGAATCATAGGGAGAAATGGACTAGCAACAGCCTACTCCTCCTCAGCAGGTGTGCTACACACAACCATACTATCACCAATACACTACATCCTTGACCACCAAAGGGTCAAGACGTACCTGGCGCTCCTCTCGGAGCAGCCAGGTCAACTGTTAAGTTGGCCCATACCAACCCCCTCCCCACCGGAATATCAACAAGTTCTCGCCAGAAGTTACAATTTCATTTAGGAAAGGAACGGAACCAGTGTTAAACAGAGGTGAACAGTGCTTAAGTCAGTGAGAACAACTCAACAGTAACAGTCGTACCCAAGTTAACCATCACACAATGAGGTCCCAGGTACCCAGTGATAATGGCCAGTGAGACCCAACAACAACAACCAGCGATGTGTTAATCCGTCTACGATAGGAAGGCCTAAGACCAAACCTCACTCATATAACACCATCTGTGAGGGAATTACTACACCACATGTCCCTCATAACACCATATGTGAGGGAATTACTACACCACGTCAAGTCCCTCATCACACCACTTGTTTGGCAATTACTACACCAAGTGAGGTCCCTCATAACACCATCTGTGAGGGAATTACTACACCACGTCACGCCCCTCATAACACCATCTGTGAGGGAATTACTACACCACGTGATGCCCCTCATAACACCATCTGTGAGGGAGTTACTACACCACATGAGGCCCCTCATAACACCATCTGTGAGGTAATTACTACACCAGGTGAGGTCCCTCATAACACCATCTGTGAGGTAATTAGTACACCACGTGAGGTCCCTCATAACACCATCTGTGAGGGAATTACTACACCACGCCAGGTCCCTCACAACACCATCTGAGGGAACTACTACACCACGTGAGTTCCTCCTAACACCATCTGGGAGGGAGTTACTACACTACAAGTTTGCTGTTCAACACCTACATTAATCTGTATGTTCACTGTATGTTCCTTTACCTTTCTCTAATGAAGGCTTTTGTTAAACCACCAATGTATGTAATAAGTCATTTATGTCCAATGTATATTTTCAGCCTTCGGGCTGCAGAATTTTTTCAATGAACCGTTAATTATTATTATTATTATTATTATTATTATTATCAATACCTTGTTTAGGCAGGACGACAAGTTCAATGATTCATGGCAACACCCACGATTCAAACACTGGCATCTCATTGACTACATCATTGTCAGAGAAAGGGATCGCCAATATGTCCTTATCACCCGAGCAATGCGTGGCTCAGATCACTGTGACATTGATCATCGGCTCGTCAGAGCCAAGCTCTCACTTCACGTCGCCCCAAAACGGCGAAGGCAACAAGATACCGGAAGAGGTTTTAACACAAAGCGTATTAAGAATCCAGTGGTATCACATGATTTCAGAAAGCAGCTCGAACATGAGCTGACAAACAACCCAACAACAAACAGCCCAAATTCCAGTACCGAATGGAGTATTCTCCACACTGTCATGACAAAAAACTGCAGAAAGACCCTCGGCCAGGTCGAAAGAATACACCAGGACTGGTTTGATAAAAATGGCCCGGAAATCCTTGTACTCGTCGATGATAAACGTGCTGCTTTAACTGACTGGCAGAAAAGCCCTCAGTTTAGGACCAAAGCTGATACCTTCCACAAGAAGAAAGCAATGGCCCAGCGCAAACTTTGCAAATTAAAGAATAGCTGGTTTAAAAATAAAGCATGTGAAATGCAAAAACTTGCAGATCAACACAAGATGCAAGAATTATTCAATTCCACTAAAACATTTTATGGGCCAATCATTCATGGCACAGCACCCCTCTGCTCCTCCGATGGTAACTTCCTAAATTAAATACGAAGAAGGCATCCATCAGGGCTGGAAAGAGCACTACCATTTGCTACTCAACCGAAACACCGATGTGGAGGTCCTGACTACCCAGCAGGACCCTCAGCATCCAGAGCTGACCTTTCTCAGCTATCCTCCATCCCCGGATAAGGTTGCTACTGCCATCAAACAGAAGAACAATAACAAAGCCTCAGGACCTGATGGAATCCCAGCCGAGGTGTATAAAATAGTAGGACCTCTGCTTACCAGCCATCTCCACTGTCTCCTGGAGGATATATGGTAAAACGAGGAAATCCCCCAAGCTCTTAAAGATGCCCCCATCGTCAATATTTATAAAAACAAGGGAGACCAGTCAGACTGTGGCAACTACCGCAGGATCTTGCTGCTGTCTGTAGCTGGCACGATTATCGCCCTAGACCTCCTAAGCAGACTACTACCTGAGGCGGAAAACTTGCTGCCAGAATCACAGTGTGGCTTTAGACCATCACGTGGCACCACTCACATGATCGTTGCTGCCCGCCAGATACAGGAAAAGTGCAGAGAATAGCATCGTGACTTGTACATGGCCTTCATCGACCTAACCAAGGCCTTCGACTCGTTCAACAGGGAAGCCCTCTGGGGGACCCTAAGCCGGTTTGGCTGCCCAACAAAAGTTCTATCGCCATTACAAGGCAACTTCACGACAGCATGAACTGCAGTGTCCTGCACAATGGCACCCAGTCTGAGTTCTTCCCCATCCAAATGGGGGTAAAACAAGGATGTTACTGGAACCAATTCTCTTTTCCATTTTCTTGACTGCCTTCCTTACTCGTGCTAGTGCCAATTTAGCTGGCGGGGTGGACATTGAGTACCAGATGAAGGATCTTTTCAAAATAAGACAACTCCAAGCAGGAACAAAGGTGTCGGCAGCTTCCATTACTGAAGTTCAGTGTGCAGATGACCTCACCCTTGTCGCTCACACTGAACGCGAACTACAGGAGATCCTGAACACCTATGCAGATGCGTTTGCAAACTTCGGCTTTGAAGTGGATGTGCGCAAGACGCAGATTCTCGTTCAGCCTGCCCCTGGTTCAGATACACCTCCACCATCCATCCAGCTTAATGGTACTACCCTCGCTAATGTTTCTCACTTTCAGTATCTCGGTTCCCACCTGTCCACCACCGCGAACATCGATGAAGAGATTCAACACGGGATCAGATGTGCATCTCAAGCCTTTGGCAGACTCCGTACCCGTGCCTTCAGTTGTAGGTAACTGAAATTATCTACAAAGTTGCAGGTATATTGAGCAGTGGTCCTCCCCATCCTGCTATATGGCAGTGAGACATGGGTTACAGACAGGAGGCACCTCAAGGCACTTAAAATCTTTCACTGGGAATAGAGAACAAATGCCAGTATTCTCGCTGACACCAAATGTAGGAGCCTCGAGGCTACCAGTATCCATGAACAAGTAAGCTGGACTGGCCATGTTACCCACAGGGACGACAGCAAACTGCCAAAGCAGCTACTTTACAGTCATATAATG